AATAATTTTTTTACAAATATATCTTTATATTTTATATAAATTTTTGTTACATTTAGAAATTTTATACACCAGCGTCTTTTTCATTCTTATTGCCTTTTTAAATGATAATATTAATTACTTTACTTTTTTCGCAGGAAAAGCGACAAAATTGCAATATTAATTGTTATGATTACGCACCAACAAGCTGTAAAGCTATTGGCTGAGGTATATTTTTCTAACTTAAATAACATTCATTTCTTAATTAATTAATTTTCAGCTTATTTTTATTTGATTTCTCATATACATGACATTACTTCTAACACAGCAATTAATGCTTTCATAAACTGTAGTGCGAGAAAGTTTTAAGTTTATTGATTTTGTCAAAATAATTTGTCTTAGATACATATGTACACGTTAATTGAGTTGAGAAAAGAGCGACTGGGTGATGCTGTTTACAAAATTAAAAAACGAAGATTGGAGTGCGCAAGAAAAGTCACGAAGTATGGACTCATCGGTCTATCTGGGTTTAAATAATATTTGTTAGTTTAATTATTCTTTTTTTGCACAGCAAATTTTTGTTGGAGCAGATGTTTGTTTTCTTCAATTTGCAATAAAAAACAACAAAAAATTATAAAAAATTATTTAACAACTTTATATGCCTTATAGTCTATATTGAAAAAAGATTCGGCTCTGAAGTACAAAATGTGTTTGGAACAGTTTTAATTTAAATTTAACTTGCAAAAAATAATTTTTTGTTTTCAATCCTTTCGTTTCTAGCCTAACCACCCAGACAACACGCATGTCTTAGAAATTTCTGAAAAACGTTCTCTTTTTTCAGACGTCTTTTTAAATGTCTTGAAGACACGCGTGTTAACAGGATACGAATTTAGAAGTACAAAATAAAATATTATTATTTACATTTTTAACATTTCTAACATTTACATACTTTGACACTTTTGTTTGTCAGCAACTAAAAACTATACAATTTTGGTTTTATATGCATATTTTACTGATTATGTATCTTAATTTCCGCGCTCTTCTATCAACTAGTAAAACGTTTTCCTGTTGAGTGACCTCTTAGCAACTGTTTGTGTGACATAACATATATATTATGTCAGTTACGAATATGCTTCTTAGTATTCAGAGACTTCTTGGAGCTAACAGAGAATCGCAATTTAATTTATATATCTTTAGCATTCGGATTTGTACGTAAAGCGATGTTAACTGTATTATTATTACAAAATTGTAAGTTTTTACGTACCATTGCATTTTAATTGACGATTTTAATATATCTAAGTAAGTGGATAGAAACGAAATATTTCTTATTCAAAATATAGAAAAATTTATAAGGCATGATAAATACAACTTTATTTTCTCAAATATTTTTCTCAATAAGTAACTGTATTACAAATTTTTTTTAACTTTTACATTTTTTACTGTGTATATCATGAATCACTTCATGTTTAATAATTGAATACCATTTCTGCAAAATGAAAATTAATTGTGTGTGTATGTGTGCGTGTGCAGCTTGCTTGCGTGTCAGTAGATCCCCGAGTAACATGAGTTTGTATAACACCATAGAAAAGTTGTGGGAGTGCTCTTGCAACAAAGTAAAACAGGCTCGTCTAACATGGTAAATAAGTTTACATTTTTACATTCGAATCACCATGTATAAAAATTACATCTTTATTATTCTCTTTACATTTTTTTTATAATAAACCCTTACATCTTTTATAAATATGTGTTTCCATATGCGTACATAATCCATATATCGCAAGAAAAGTAACATAAGACAAAGAAATAAAATTGTGGGAGGAAAGAAGGAATTGCGTTAATAATAACACTTCCTAATAATAATATGAATTAGTTTTTTCGCAAATTATAAATTATTTTAAGCAAGTTTGATTTTATGGAATA